CTCCATGTGCAGTTTACAGTAGGGTTCCCCCTCCTGTGAGAATCTAATGCCGCTGCTGATCTGACAGAAGAGGGAGCTTATGCCGTGATGTGAGCAATGGGAGCGGCTGTAAATACAGATGAAGCTTTGCTCCTGCTGTGCTGCATGGTTCCTAGGGGTTGGGGACTGCAGCTTTAAAGGATTGTTATAGGATTATATGAGATAATTATGCATCCTGAATGCAACAAGTATTTGATTACTGTATGGCAGACATTAGGTTAGGGGAAAAAATTAGACAAGGACCTGGTACCTGGTGCATAGTAGGAACTTAATAGATATCTCCTAAATGTACCTAGTTGTTTCATGCCTATGCATCATTTTGCTTTAGTTCTTTATTATGAAATAATTTATTTTTCTATGCTGAAGTATTTTAAAGCAGATAGCGGGCATTATGTCTTCTCACTACTGCATAATTCAGTGTACATCTCTTAAGAAGTACGCCATTTCCTTTCATAATAGCAGTCATTGCACCTAACAAAATTACATTCATTCATTGGCATTATCTGTTATTCACTTCATAATCAAATTTCCCCAATTGTCTTGAAAATACATTTGTAGTGGTTTGTTGGAATCAGGATTCAAACAAGGCCCACACATTACTTTTGTTTGCAGTGGCTCTTAGTCTAGAGCATCCACCTTTTTTGAGTAGGGGTGTTGTCTTGTTGCAGAAGCCAGGTCTCTTTAGAATGTCTCCCATTTTGGATTTGTTTCTTGCTTCCTTTTGGTTTTATTTAGCTAATTATTAGATGCTCAATTAGATTTTTTTCTGGTAAGAAATATTTATAGGTTATACTGTGTACTTCATACTGCAGCACATCAAGAGTCATGCTTCTGTACCTTAATAAATACTGTTGCAAGAATGTCCTTCCTTTCCCTTTCTGCCTAGCAAATTCCTGATCATCCTTCAAAACCTTGTTTCATTGAAGTAAAGAGCATTTAGCATTATGTTAGTCTGTCATACTTAAATTTAGTATTGCTCCTAAGAGGCAAACCACCTAGTTGTCATATAATTGTAATGTGCTGAGAGGTGGGTATGGATAGAAGTAAACGGGATATGACACCCAGAAGGGGGCTGCTTAACCCAGCACTGGGAGTCAGGGTCAGTAGGGTTTCCTGGAAATGATGCTCAAGTTGAGGGCTGAAGGACGAGGAGAATTTGCCATCAGAGATAGCTACATTCATACATTTTCATCCCTTAAAAAGAAATGCCCGAGAAATGGATTCTCATGAAATTCACTTTGACATTGGTCTCCCTTACTGGGTTAGTGGCTTTGTAAAATTAATCGGGTCTTCTGGAGATGGTTGGAGGGATTCACCGAAACAGGATCTGATGTCTTACAGTTTGGTCTCTACAGTGCTATTCAAGTTATTTCTCATTCTTTTCCTGTTTTCAGATTAGTAGGCTGTAGGGCTTAAAAGCTAGAAGGAGCTGCAGTGGACATTGGTCAGATTTGCCTACCCAGCATCTGAAAACTTCCTATTCCCCAGTTCCATTACATAGATGTTGGTTGGAGACCCAGCCAGTGTCCTATCACTGGGCCACTGGAACACAGGTTTGTGAACCAGGTTCAGCTGACTCGATGCTCCTACCCAGGATTCAGAGTCCTGATGGAAGGGGTACAAACTGCAGGAACATTTGAGGATTTGTCCTTGGTAGTGTGGACAGTCTGATGGCGTCTCGAAGGCTGTGCTCTGTGGTAGCAGTGCTGGTGGTGCCGTCTTTCCAGACTGCTGGGCAAGGCTTTGGCTCCCATGCCCATATCCCCTGACTCCTGTTGTTTCCTGAGCCTGCGGTTTGCAGCTCTCTCATCAATGATGTGAACTGCCAGATGGCCTTCCAATAAACTTTTTCTCCTTAACTTAGTCTGAGTTGGTTCTTCTTGTTTACAACTGAAAACTCTAACTGATAAAGGATTTGGAAGATTTTGCTTGCCCTTGACTTCTGAATTTTCTGCTACAAAGTCCTTTCTGCTGTCTGCACAGAATGAGCACCTTCCCTAAGGCTAAAGAAAATCCATTGCTAACCTATTCAATCCAAAATTCTGGATGGCTCTGGGGCAGATTCTACTTCTTAGGTAGAAATGGGTACTAACCATTTTCTCCTTGGTACTTGATGGGTTAAAACCAGACTAAGAGATTACCTAGCCAAATTAGGTTGCTCCCCTCTATCTTTCTCCCCTCCCCAAAATCTCAAGAGTAGATATCTCTCTACCTCAGGAAGATCTAAGAGCTCTGGACTGTAAGAGAGCATTGTACCCTCTCATGTCTCCCAAAATAGATGTCTCATTCCTTTGAATTTTGCATTAAGTGCTCAACTTGAATGTCCTGCTGTTGAGGCGCTAAGGGTGTCAATTAGTGAGTGACTGGCCTTCCAGCTAGCTGTTCTTTTTTGAATATATCGTGCAGGGTGGATGATCCTGTTAGTAGCAACTGTGGGATCCCACACCATCTGTCAGGTGGCAATCAGTAGTTAGCCTGCCTGTGCCAGGGCCCGTTTTCAGGGCTGTCTGAAGAGATGCTACTGTTCAGGCATCCAAGCCCTGGCCTGGAGATCAGGAGGCCTGGATTGTCATTCCTGCCACTAACTCACCGTATGCTTTAGGAAAGTCATGGAACATCTCTTTCTGTAAACTCCAGGAAGATGTAAGGATTTTAGGAGATGGTTCAGGAGTACTTCAAACCCAATAGCTCTGCTTTCATTCTATACATTAACATTCTGCAAAAGATTTCTTTTGGAGTTAGGGTACTACAGCTAAAACAAAAAGAAAGCACGGGGTCTTGAAAACATCACTGAACTAGATGGCATCCACATCCCTCGGCATATTTCAAATTCACGTCTGTGTCATTCCCTGGAGTTTTTAATGGACCTCTGCTTTGAAATTATTTCTGGAACAAGGCAGAATGTAAATAAATCAGTACATGACTAGACAGTCATGGTGATCAAATATCGAGGGCTGCACACGACACTATTGATAATAACGAGCCAATGTAATTCTGCATCAACTTACTTGTCTTTCAGAGTAAGCCAATAAATAAATGGTAATGTCCGCTGGAGGCAACCGCTTTATATTCTGGCTCTTCAAGGTGACCTCAGAAGCAAAGCCCAGAACTGCGTAGTGACCATGTAGGTCAGAACTATGGGACTTCTAAGCCCCACACCGGCAGAGAGGCACACCGGACCAGCAGTTCTCACTCATTTTGCATGCATAATGTGAACAGTGTGGAAGCAAGAGTGCTTCTTTCTGCAGTCTAGATTCTAAGATGTTTTCATAAGCAGATCTCATTGATCAGGGCCTTAGAGCCTGACCTCTTGGCCCCCCAGGGATGCTGCGGTCAGCTTGCGGACAGCACAGCTCTGGGGACACTTTTCACAGCAGCTGCAATGTGAATGCCACCCCCCTCGAGCCAAGGGGTCTGCAGTAAACAGATTCTCCACAACTTGATCACCTCTTTTTAAGCCACATTGTGGGTAAATGATCCATTTTGTATAAGGAGGATGGGCTTGCCTCTCATCAGCCAGGACTCTCCAAGCCTAAATTTGTTTTTGTTTAATAAACCTTTTATCGAGCACTAACTGTGGGTGGGACACTGCTCCTCTGGCCCCAAACATGCATCTCTCTGGAAAATTACTGAACAATTCCAAAGATACAAACGCACTCCCCTAAGATCTTGACACTTCTTATTCAGGGCCTTCACTACCCAGGGCTTTGCTGCTTTTCTTTCAGTCTCCTGCTGCCTGATATCTTGGTTGTCTTACGACTCAAAAGAGGCTTTCTGCCAGTGGGCAGGATTGGGGAGAAGAAAGAGGAGGCGGCCAGGCATACAGCTACTTGATAGTAGCCTTGGCAAAGTAAGCCAGGAGGTGAAATTGCTGGGCTAGGTAGAAAATGGGAAATTACTTGTAGATTTATTAATACTGTTCTTTCTCAAGCAAGAATAAACTGAAATTTGCCAAAAAGCAAAGAGCAAATTATTCAAGACTGTTAACTAGTTACTGTGGTTTTTTTCCTGGGACAGATAAATGAAGGAAGTTTCCTTAAATGGAGTCACTCCCATGCCCTGACAGTATCTCTGGCCCAGGACAAGGAGGGCTTTCCCCCGGCTAAGAACAGAAGCAAAGTGCTTGGGGAGAGAGGAGCAGTGAATACTTGGGTCACCAGGTATTGTCACCAGGCCTCAGGACTTCCTGGAGAAAACAGGAGGAGTTAAATAATGATTAAATCATAAGAGACTTGGAAGTAGACAAGAGTAGGAAAAGATGTAAACTTATTCTCTCCCTGCTGGCTACCTGACACCATCACCCTATGTATGTCAGAATGGCTTTGAATGACCAAATATTTGCATAAGGTATAGCTTTCCTGACACCTTAAATGGGATCTTAAAAAGACTTACAACTGGCCGGGCACTGGCTGGGCGCGGTGGCTCACGCCTGTAATCCTAGCACTCTGGGAGGCCGAGGCGGGTGGATCACTCAAGGTCAGGAGTTCGAGACCAGCCTGAGCAAGAGCGAGACCCCATCTCTACCAAAAAAAATAGAAAGAAATGATCTGGACAACTAAAAATATATATACATAGAAAAATTTAGCTGGGCATGGTGGCACATGCCTGTAGTTCCAGCTACTCGGGAGGCTGAGGCAGAAGGATTGCTTGAGCCCAGGAGTTTGAGGTTGCTGTGAGCTAGGCTGACGCCACGGCACTCACTCTAGCCCGGGCAACAAAGCGAGACTCTGTCTCAAAAAAAAAAAAAAAAAGACTTACAACTACTAAGAAATGGTGGAGATTTTGCAATCTACAACAGTACCTTACATGGCCAAGGATGGGTAGGTTTTTGGTAGCTGGAACTATAGAGCAAGGATGTTCCAGGCAAGAGGAATTTCAGAAGAAAAGGCTAAAGAGGAGGTGACCGGGGAGTCGGAGCGACAGGTGGGCGGAAAGGAAAGCTGGAGCCGCGGGTGGGGAACATGTCGGAGTCTGAGCTCGGCAGGAAATGGGACCGGTGCCTGGGGATGCGGTCGTGAGGATAGGTACTGGTTTGGGATGAGGAATTGTTTTCTCGCTTACCTTCTTTAAAGAAGAATGTGGCCATTAGCCTTTGGTTCTGGCATGGGACTGGGAATGGCCTACTCCAACTGTCAGCATGATTTCCAGGCTCCATATCTTCTACGTGGAAAATACGTCAAAGAGCAGGAGCAGTGACGTACACCTGAGAACATCCCAGTGGGAGGAAAAGAGAAATCATGTTTATTCCTCAGGAATACTGAAGTGCCCTGGAGTAAGCTGACATTCTCCCGTAACAATGTTATCAATAGTGCTTTAAACTCCAGCACACCATTTATGTATTTGAAACCAAGTCTGTTTCTTGTTTTGTATTTTCTCTCTGGAAATTGTGAGGAAGTGGTCTCAAGAGAAATAAATTAAAAATAGGAAGGCCCCCCCCACCAAAAAAAAGAGGAGGTGACCTCAAGATGTGTTCCATGAGCATTGTATTTATTAATTTCCCTAGGGCTACTGTGACAAATTATCCCAAGATGGGTGGCTTAGAACAATAGAAATTTTTTATCACAGTTCTGGAGGCCAGGAGTTCCTATTCAAGGTGTCAGCCGGGCCATGCTCCACCTGAAGGCTCCAGGGAAGCCTTGCCTCTTCCTGCCTCTTCCTGGCTTCCCGTGGCTGTGGGCAACCTTTGGTGTTCACTGGCTTACTGACGCACACCTCCAATCTCTGCCCCCATCATCGCAAGGTGTTCTCCCTGTGTCTCTGAGTCTGTGTCACTTCTCTTCTTAAAAGGCTGCCAGTCATTGGATGTAGGGCTCACCCAACCAGCATTATCTCATCTTAACTTGATTACATCTATTTCCAAATAAGATCACATTCAGAAGTACCAGGGGTTAGGTCTTGAACATATCTTTTTAGGGGGAACACAATTACTCAACCCATTGTGAGCATTACATTGTCTAATTTATTTGATTTAAATGGGGAAATAGTGAGATATCTGGCTGTATGTCAGACAGCTTAATAGTATTTATTTAATACACTGACTACCTTATATGCAACACTGTTATTTGATATGGAAGGTGTAGAGTCCTCACCTTAGGAGCTTATGCTTTGGTGGAGAATAGCAAAATACCAGCAAGAGACACAACAAGGCAGGATAAAATGAAGAACGGATTATAAAAGTCCACGAGTAGGAGGCAGCCAGTGTTACAGAAGACAAGTAGAGGCACAGGTTGAGAGGAAACCAGACGCAAGCACGCTACTTGAGGTGCTATGAGACGAATTCGAAGGAGAGAGAGGGAAGAAGCTGGATGGTTTTCTTGAACACCAATTAAGTATATTAACGAGTGCTTCTCTACAGAATGAAGTATTTAAAGCAGCTTTATGTGAACTAAAGAGTAAAACATTAATGTGACTAAATGCAATGTGGTATCCTGGACTGGCTCTTGGAACAGAAAAAGGACGTTAGTGGCAATACTGCAGTGCAATTAGCGGTTGCCAGGGAGGAGGAGGAATGGCCGGCAAGTGACTGCTTAATGGGTACGGGGTTTCCTTTTGGGTAGATTAAAATGTTCTGATGGTGATCAGATGATGGTGGTGACTGCACAACACTGAATGTCAATGGTAAATTTTATGTTAGATGTATTTTATCACAATTTTTAAAGGCCATAAAAGATACTGCGAAAAACCCCTGAAATCTGAATAATGTCTGCAGTTTAGTTACTAGCATTATACCAATGTTGGTTTTTTTTAATTTTCACAAACATACCATGATTATATAAGATGCTAACATTAGGGAAGCTGGATGAAGAGTATATGGGAACGCTGTACTATTTTGCAACTTTTTTGTAAATCTAAAATTTTTCCAAAATAAAAATTTATTTCAAAATATTTAATGTGAAAAAAAATGCACAATCCCCAATATTTTTGAAGCCACTATCAGCTCTGGGTGTTTTTGTGTTCCTGTGTATCTATATTTTAGAATGTAAGTCCTTTGAGGACAAAGGTATAATGTGTATCTCTTTGGTATTATTATTACTAGCTTTTAATTTTTTTAGAGACGGGGTCTTGCTCTGTGACCTAGTCTGGAGTGCAGTGACAGCTCACTATAGCCTTGAACTGGCCTCAAGCAATCCTCCCACCTCAGCCACCCAGGTAGCTGGGGCTACAGGCATGCACCACCACGCCTGGCTTTTATCAGATTTTAAACATTGAACAGCTGAGTTCAGTTTTTCTGAAGAGCGCTAAGTAGAACAGGTTTTCAATTAAGGTCTCTGGTGCTGCAGACCTGGAGGGTAATTGTTGAGCGTCTCCTCTCTGGGGCCTGTCAACCCAAGAGTAATGACTTTTGGCCACTTCAGACCTGAGGTAATTTCAAACCAGCACAAATTTCCATTTGTTCTCTTTATCTAACCTACTATGTTCAGTTATTTGTGTGGTTCAATTACGCTGAGACCTCAAGGGAGAGAGACAGGGATTTAAGAAGGAAAATAACCAACACAGCTTCTTATTTTGTGTGGTATACAATACACAGGACGTATTGATGCTTCTGCACGTGATGTCCGGGTTAGCCACTGCAAATAATTCTGTGATAAAAGACAAGGATGCCTGATGATAGAGAAAAAAACTGTGTGAGGGGGCAGTGGTGGTAATGGTTAGTAAAATTTTAGAGATGTATCTTCTTGAAATAATAGTATGATTTATTTCTCAATGAAATAGCTGGTTTCCTTCTTTTTTGAACTTGGAAAATATTATTCCAGTTTCAAGTAGGCCTGGTTATTTTCTTACCCAGTAAAAAAATTCCCCCCAAAATCATTTGTTTGTCAGTGAGGATCTGCAAATATCTCTGCTTTGCCCCATGCATAATCTATTTTTTGTTTTTCTTCCTGAAAGTATCTGAACTAGGTTACAATTTCTGAACGAAAGCCCTGGAAACTAGTGTTATGGGTACATGACTTTGTATGCCATCATATTTCAGTAAGTGGCATCTGTTGTCTTTTGGAGATGTGTGGATCGACTCATGCTTGTTGATGCTTATTCATGCGTAAGAAAGCATGCAAATGTAGGAATAATTGGCATTTTAGAAATAGAGTGATGAGGGCTCTATACATCTGTAAGGACTGGTGAGATTGGTATAAGACAAAGAAGTGGCTAATGTGAGAAACAGAACTAGGATGACAACAGAAGAAAATAAAAACAAAAACAACCCCAAGCCAGAACAAACAGCCATTTCTCTGGTCATTTACACTAAAGGTTTTATCAATACTTGTGTGGGTTTGGTAGTTAACTGTAGAACAATATGTGGCTATAAGGTTTTTTATTTTTGTTTTTGAGACAAGGTCTCACTCTGTCGCCCAGGCTGGAGTACAGTAGCATCATCATAGTTCACTGCAACTTCAAACTCCTGGGCTCAAGTGATCCTCCTGCCTCAGCCTCCCACGTAGCTGGGTCTACAGGGTGTGCGCCATCATGCCTGGCTAATTTTTCTATAGTTAGTAAAGACAGGGTCTTGCTCTTGCTCAGGCTGGTCTCAAACTCCTGGCCTCAAGCAATCCTCCTGCCTCCGCTGCCCAAAGTGTTAGGATTACAGGCATGAGCTGCTGCGCCTGGATTATATGTTTTTAATTATTGCAAACATTTATTTTACTCTTACATTCACTTGCAGTATCTAAATTGTGAGTAATTCATTCCATCGCATGGGATTGGGGAATCTCAAGTCATCTTTTACTTTCTTTATTAAATCCTAAATTAAAAGAATCACTTCAGGCCTTAAGAACCCAGAATCCAGTCAACTTGTTTATGTATTTTTTGAACAGATAATAGTGGCGGTGTAACAAATTACCCCTAATTTCAGAGCTTAAAACAACAAACATTCATCTCCTAGTTTCCCAGGGTCAGGAATCTGGGAGTGGCTTAGTTGCAGTCAGGCTGTAAGGAGCTGCAGGGATCTCAAACCGTGCCTGGGGTTACAGAATTCCCTCCAAGCTCACTCACACAGTCTTGGCAGCTCCTTGCTGGCTGTTGGCTGGTAACCTGTTCCTATGGGCTCCCTAGAGCTTTCTTAAGTGTTCTTGTAACATGAGAGCTGGCTTCCCCCAGACCGTATGATCCAAGAGAGAACATGCAAGCAAGAGGGCACCTGAGAAGGAGGACACAGTCTCTTACAACCTGATCTCGCAAGTGACATAGCATCACCTGCTGAACGCTAGTGGTCACACATACCAACCCTGGTCCAGTGTGGAAGAGGACTGACTATACCACGGTGTGAATGTCGGG